ACAGTTGGCCTTCCTGACTGCGTCCCCACACTGTCGGCCCATGTTCATTTTGGCATCAATAATGATTCCAAGATCCTTTTCTGCCCCTGCACTGACAAGAAGGGAGTTCCCCAGCCTGTAGGTATGCTGCTGGTTTTTCCTCCCCAGGTGCAGCACCTTGCACTTGTCAGTGTTGAAACCCATCCTGTTCTCTTCTGCCCACCCCTGTAATCTGTCTAGGTCCAATTGCAGCCTGTTCCTCCCTTCTAGCGTGCCCACATCCCCCCACATCTTAGTGTCATCAGCAAATTTGAATAGGGTGTTTTTACCCCCTCATCCAAGTCACCGATGAAGATGTTGAGCAGCGCCGGTCCGAGGACCGAGCCCTGGGGGACCCCACTCCCCACATCCCTCCAGGTCGAAAATGACCCGTCCGCCACATTCTGTGTCCATCGACCAATTTTATTTCCCATTCCCTCTGCCCTCTGGTTTAGAAATATTTTTTCCTTTGAGCATAAAGTATTTTAGAAAACTGAACTGACCTTGAAAGCCTGAAATTCAAGTGAATCCAAGTTCATGAAACCCATTTTTCCTAGAAAATTGACAACTGGGAAAGCCCATGTGTTTTGGTAATGTGTGGCTGTAAATTGTGAAAGATTGTATCAGACTTCAGGGGGGCATGTCTGCATGGGGTATGCCTATAGTTTGAAAGCAGAATCAGCTCATGTTCTGGGGAACTGGAAACCAGAAATACTAGTTTAACTCTTGGTGTTAGCCTGCCATAAAACAGAATCTAGCCTGCATCTCTTGCAGGGTGTATTATAGTGTGGTGTATGCTAAAGGGTTTTTACTTGATCTGGCGATGACGGCACTACTTGTAATTAGTGAAGTCCCTTAACTCCAAGGAAGGTCAGCAAGATCTTTGTGCTGGCCCCACCAGCTTCTATCCTGCATGTGCCATATATGCAACTGAGAAGCTCTTCTGGAGACTGCCTCAGTGGCTTCTCTAAACGAGTATTACAGTATTAGACTTGGGTATCACAAGGCTTTGAGGGTGAAAGGCAGGCATTGGCTCCCCTGCTAGAAAGCAAGGAGTTTCCCCATTCCAGAGATCTTCAGATCTGCTTTCTGATCCTGAAGCACCATGAGATCAGACCTCAGTCCTGTTTCTGGGACAGGTTTGTACATTGAGCATCCCAGCTCTCAGATCAGTGTAATTCTTGGGGAGAGGAGTTTTGAAAATTGCAGGAGGGAGGAGCACTGTTGGTGTGCATTTTTCTTTGGTCTTTATTTTAAATATTAGTAAACTTAAATGAAAAGCCAGCTTTTTTTCCTTTCCTGCAAGTTCCCTGCCTGAATCTGAGATTGGCTTATAACTGAGAGCATTTAACTAAAATTTCCCCAGGGTTATGGTGCTTTCTGTGAGTCTTCTACAAAAGGACAAGGCAAGTATTAGAAGAATAGACTTTACAGTTTAATCGAGTTACTGTTTTTGGCATGAGTCTTCCATGTTGTCTCCTAACGTCAGAGGGATGGATTAACACAGCAACACTATAAACACCCAGTAAACCATTTCTGTGTTCCTTTACGTCACTGTCAGTCCCTCTGAAGGCATCTTTGGGGTGTTATTACCCTTGCTTTTTTCTGGTGAAATATCTCTGGGTAGTTTGGGGGATTAAACATCTGCCCTTGGGTAACCTCCCACCAGTGGAGGAATCCATGAAGGGAAATGGGGTGGAGATGTCCGATCATCTCTGAGCTTGCTCTGGAACTGAAGTGCTTCTAAGAATAACACCAGCTTACATCCTGTGTTTCTCAGTAACAATTAGTTCCACAATGAAGGCTAGCAGGGACGTGTGCGAAAATACCAGCATCACTCATGTGATGAAAGCATGTCCTCTCGTGTTCTCATTGCCATTGCAAGGGGATCTGACGTGTTGCATCAGACTTGACAACAGCCAACACAGGCTCGCTGCCTTCCATTGCTACCTGAGTTTCCTCACACCCAAACATGGCAGTTTCTTCCCTATTGTCTGCTTGCTGCAAGAACAGGGTTGACTTATGTGGGTGGGTGTGACAAACTTGGGATGGTCCCTGTGGAAAACTATTTGGCTAAGCTGGGTTCCTGTGCAACCTCTGTTGGTCTCCAGATGTTGTGGAATTGGCTTCCACACTGTTTAAGGCTTTTGAGCAACTGGGTCAAGCACCATTTCAGTGCTGAAATGATTAAGGCCCAGAAGGAAAGGGCAGGGACTGAAATCCTGTCTCCCAAGGGTAGGGGAGCTGAGGCTGGGACTGATTTGTGGGATGCCTGTAGGACTGCACTAGATGGACATTCCCTCCCAGGAGGAGTGAGGCAGTGTTGTTTGCAAAAATTTGGGGATGTTGCAATCAGCCAGGGAAGAGTGAATGGTAAAATGGAGCCCATTTGGCTGCAGACTGTGTATCTTTGGTTGAAGTGTGTTGGAGATAGACCTTCAAGATATGAACTCAGTGTGCTCATTGAGGGGAAATGCCAGAGAAGCAGGCGAGAACTTCTACTCTGTGCTGGATATATGCAAGGATCTCTAATTATCAGAAATGGCATTCATTGGGAAATGACTGGCATAGGTGTGGGCACTGCTGGCACATGCTGGCTACATCTACACAACAAACTTACTGTGCCTAGCAGCATCAGCACCTTAAGCCTGCTGCACTGTCCCTTGGGGGCTGACTCCTCAGTGCAACGTATCTATCTGTGCTTGCACAGTGCTTCAGGTGGGCTGATCAGCACTGCTGAGCAGCAGAGTCAGGTAGCCATGCAGACTGCTTCGGGTTAGCAGGTAGCCTGAGCAGCGTGGCCCATCTGAAGTTGTCTCTGCTAGGGACGGTATGTTTACTAGGTAGCTGTGGCCCCAAACGCAGACACTGGTTGTTTAGCTCCACTTGACAGTATTGGCAACCCCAGGTGCTCAGAGACTGCATTTGGATGAAAAAATATGTAATTAAAAAAATAAGGGCATTTGAGGTTTGTCTTTTTTGCTGTCCTGCTTTTGAGCCTTGTTAGGGTTCATATTTTCCTGGTTTGTTCTGTATTTAGGAGGGGAAGTATAGATGCCCATGTGAGCAAGCGACTTCAAAAACTGGGGCTGTAGCAGAGACATCGCCTATCACAAGACTCATGTTATTGTGACTGGCAGTGTTGTGGCCTCATCACCATCCTCAGTCATGACAATGGCCAGTCCAGATGCAGGGACCTGGGAAGCTGAGTGCTCCTCTTCCCCTCCACTCCAGCCTTGTCAGCTGTTGGTCCATTTTTGAGAAATATGCCCCTGCTTAAAATATTTCAGTGACAAAGGTCAGAGGTCATTGTGAAGGGGAAAGGTCAAGCACGTCTTCCTCTCCCTCTTCCCACCCCCCTATCCCTTTTCAGTGGGGAATGTGTAGCTGATGAAATACAGCTGTTCTGGATAAGCTAAGATGTGGCTGAGATAAAGGGCAGGGGAAGACGGAGAGTTTTTTCTTAGGGAGTCAAGATGCAGAGCCGTGGTGTTACAGCACAGAGGCAGGGTTCTGCGGAAGTCAAGTATCACTGAACTGGAACATTCTGCTAAAAGTGGCCCTAACCCTCATAGAGAGAGAGAGAGAGATCTGGTGCCTTATTCTATTTGAGGGAATTCTATGAATTTCACCATTCCCAGGAGGCAAGTTCCAGTATTTATTTGCCTTGCAGGGATTTGGACAGAGTTCTGGCTTATGGCCACGACTGACTTCATTAAGAGTCATGCTAAGGCCCGTTGTCTCTGCTGGGTGCTGTCTTGATTGTGTGTGTGCAACGCAACACGTTACCACTTTATTTTGCCTAGCATCTTCCAGACTGGCTGTATTCCTGAGTGTTTTGGAAGCTTGAATAGGGCAGCTGAGAGTCCAGCAGTAGCCGAGAAATATGTCCCAGCAAGGCAGCAGTTACTGACAGGCAGCATGTAAAAGTTGGTATGTGGAGGGAGGGTGGGCCTGTGGATGGTGGCTCTGCCAGCTAGGGAATGAGGCCTTGGGTTGCAAACAGGCTTGGAAGAAATTGGGACTAAGCTGAGCTTTTGTTCACCTTTTGAAAGGAACTGGCTTTGAGGCCAAAGTAGCAGGGAGGTGGGATTACCTTAAACTTCTTCCCCTGTTCCCCCATCTCGGTTCAGCTTTGCACTGTGATTCTGGTCAAGGTCAAAAGCTTCTGTGCCTAAATCCTGTGTCGCTTCATGTTCCCAGCCAACTAGAAACGGGCTGCTCTCAGAAATGTTGCAAGAGACTTTGACCTCAGGAAATGTCCACCATGCTTCCTTCCCTGATTGGACTATCAGGGAGGACTCTCTGAAATGGGCTGCATGGCAGGGTCATCTGAACATGCAGCCAGCTTGTGAAGAGATGTTGGGCACATATATGTGGTGGGGGTGAAATTTTGGGTGTGTGTGTTGGCCTAACAGACCTCAAGGGCAGGATAACCTGTCATATTAACTGTACTCAGCCAGATGCTTCCCTGGAGAGAGAGGACTCCTGTGGGAAGGACTGAAATGCAAAGCCTGTCCGATTTGCTGAGCAGGGCACCTGTCTTTGGAGGAGAGGGTGGTTCTGAAGGGT